GGGGGGTGACACCAAAATGACTGTCAGTCATTTTGGTGTCACCCCTCCAATGGTGTCACCCGGGTGCGGGCCGCACCCCCCGCACCCACCTTGTGACGCCACTGCAGAGGTCCAACCCCGGCTTTGCCGTTTTTTCAGAGATCACGACTACCTTGCTCCTCTTGTAAAGCTTTCATTGATACCTTCACACAATGAGACCCCCGTCCTTTCACCTTATCTGTAATGCAATGTTTACAGGAAACAGCAGAAATATAAGATGTCTGAACCCTATTAATTAAGACGATGAGTTTTTAGTTCGGATAATTGCTTTCATTCTCTAACTACACGTCTCGTTGATGCACGCAAGCTCTTCATTGTTTGCCGCTTTCAATCAGAGCCGCACAATCGCTGTGCCGTGCTGCTCACAAGGAAATGCAACACGCATATGTCACCGATAAATAACGGCTGCCCCCGTGTACATATAAAAAAAAGAACCAGAACGGTTTTTGGTCAAACGTTTATTTTTGAAGTTAACAATTTTTTAAGCTTGTTTTATTCAACTGTTAAATAAAAATGTTCCTTAGAAAATGATAGACATGCTTAAAAGGAGAACTATGGGGTCAGTGTTTTTCCCCAGAGTTTTCCTAAGGGTCACTGGACGACACAAACTAGCGTCCTCCCGTCACTCAAAGCTCAGTATACCGCGAGCTACAGCTCACTATATACTGAGACGCCGCAGCCGGGACATTACTGTCGAGATCCACCCAGCTGTGCGAGTGACAGCTGGCTCTGCCTATCTAAAAGGCAGAGCCAGCTGTACCTGTCCCCTCCCCCGTCCATTCCGCCAGTCAGCGCTGAAGGATCGGAGCAGGGAGAATCCCTGCAGGGAGTCGTGAGTGACAGTCACCGCTCTCTGCAGGGACAGGATCGAGAAGTGAGCGAACGCCGGTATGTGTTCCTTCACTCCCCGATCTACTGAGCCGACCTGTGACAGTCTCATTGTCACAGGTCGGCTCGAACTATGAGGATGAGTGAAAATCACTCACCTCATAGTTCTCCTTTAATACAGGGTGAATCCATGTTACGTAGTTTGCAGAGCATGCTGGGATAGCTATTCTCATAGTCCAGCACTGTCTGTATTCTGGAAGAAGCATTGGGGATGATTCAAAAAACATCTGCCCTGACATATGCCGCTTGCAAGGCAATTTTCGCCACTAGATGGAGGCAAGGAGCATTGGAATTTACCACCCCTCCCTAGGATAAGGGTCTGATACGGATTTTGAGGGGTGGGGGGGGGGAGTCCTGTTGCATTTATGCTTTTTCCATTTTAGAATGGTGTACCTCCACCTTCTGTATAATTTTTAGGGGAGCCTTGACTGAAAAAGAGTTGAAATTCTCTGCATTAGACTTTCAGTGAAGGACCAACAACACTTTATGGCAGTTATTGAAATTGTCTCTGCATTGTGGGCCCTCCATTGTGCTGCAGTCCACCGTGAATACGTCGGCACTTCCTCCGACGCACATGCGCACATGCTGCGACAGTGAAGGCCAACCCCTACAGCTTCCCCCTAATGCTTCCCGGGAGCAGCAGAGGGCTGCAAGTCTAATGCACTGCTGTTACTATAGACGGCGACTTCCTGCCATGAGGTCCGCCCCTGAAAGTCCATGTCCACCACCCGGAGAGGAAGGGAAATGAAGCGGATCATGTGACCATAGATAAATCCTAAAATAAAATGTATTTACGTGGCCATTTCTGTTTACATGTTGACTCAAGAGACCAACAAGTCTATGCTTGAGGAGGTGCCATTGGGCCATTTGTTCTATGTGGCCTTTCCATCCTCTTTACGACTGGCTTCACACCATTTTCCGGTCCAGATCTAGTGCATTGCGTTTTTGCCGCGATTGGAAATTTATTTTTTAGCTTAAAGGAGAAGTATGAGGGGGGGTGCTTTTCACTCACCTCATAGTTCTAGACGACCCGTGACAATGAGACTGTCACAGGTCGGCTCAGTAGATCGGGAGGTGAGGGAACACATACCGGCGTTCGCTCACTTCTCGATCCTGTCACTTCTCTGTGCCGTGACAGGGGAGGGGCTGGATTCACTGCTCATTCCACCAGCGCTGACTGGCGGATCGGACGGGGGAGGGGGCGGGTACAGCTGGCTCTGCCTCTAGATAGGCAGATCCAGCTGTCACTCGCGCAGCTGGGCGGATCTCGACATCGATGTCGGGATCCGCTCCGGCTGCGGCGTCTCAGTATACCGCGAGCTGTTGCTCCCTATATACTGAGCCTAGGGTGACGGCAGGACGCTAGTTTGTGTCCTCCCGTTACCCTAAGGAGAACTATGGGGAACTATGGGGAAAAGCCCTGACCCCATAGTTCTCCTTTAAAATGGTCTTACAGGTGCATTCCAGTGCACTCCAGACCAGACAAAATAGGATGAGCAGTATTTTTCTGGTCTGGAACGGACTGCGCTGGTGGGAACAGGGGCCAGAAATAGCATAGGGATACATCGGGATGCATTTTGGGTCCGGAAACAGCCTGGTCTGGTCCGGAGGTAATCTGGAAGTGGTGGGAATGGGCCCTAAGGCTTACCGCATTCATCTAAAAACAGCAAAAAGGAAAAAGATACAATTCCAGTATCCGGACTTACAAAAGATCATAGCTGGAAATACATTATGCGTCTGGGCGGCAGTGGCTGGTGCCGGCGTAGCAGACAGCAATGATATCACAGCGGCCGCACTATTAATTTGCCGGGTTTAACTCGATTGATAATTACTGCTCGTTATAGAATATTTTCATCTTTGCAAGGGAGCTGGCAGTGTTACCAGAGTTCCCCAGGACAGCAACCCACGGGCCGCACGCATAAAACCCAGAAGATAAAGAAGCGGACGTATACCTCACAGCAGCCAATTAAAATCTTTGTCATTTCTTAACCCTCATCTGAAAAATGATGCCGGCATTGCTTATCCATTAAGGACAAAGACATTTTTTTAATTTTTTGCACCCATGTTGTAATCCACATTTTAGGCCTGAAAATTACTTAAAACCCCCCAAACATGATATATTTTCTGAAAGCCGAGACCCTGTAGAATAAAATGACAGCAGATGCAGTTTTTTATGTTGCACGACATTAGCACAACTTATTATCAAACCCCAAACTTTTGGAAAAATGCACTTAAAGTGACATTAAACCCTCAGATTTTTTAACATAAACCAATACTGTAATGTGCGCCTTACTGTACTCCATGGTAGTTTCCCTTCTCTTTGCTGCTCTTCCTTCTAAATCTGAATCTGTTCTCATGCTGGGGGACAACTTCTGTTTTGCAGCAGACTGCCTTGTCTCTGGAATGGATACATGGTGTCTGTGTGAAGGTTCACAACCTGAGCCAGCACTACA